TTTACCTTCAAGCCTTTAAGACCCCATCTTTTGATAACCAGGCACCATCAGGTTTCTTCACCACATTTGCTTATGCACCCATTTGTCTTCAGCGGTTGTGTCGGGGAAGGTGAGCATCATAGAATGCCAATTTAATAGAAGAAATTATTCTTGCATTGAGGGAATACTTGAATGGAAGCCCAATGTCCTTCTGCTACCTTAATACTAAACCTATAAATATATGCACTTAGATCTATTTCCCCATCTTCATATATAAATATATTTGCATATGTAAATGGCTTTATTTAGACCTCTGTAAATGGCCTTTGCCTCTTAGCTCTTTGAAGGAAGTTCTTATGGTGAGACTCTTCCGTGTTTTTCTCCTAAAGAGCCTCAACCCACTTCCTTTGTGTCACCTGTGTGTATGAATCGTCTCTCTATTTAAACAAGCTTGAAGCATGTCATGTATCTTTCTGTTGGGGTCATTAGCTCCCGGGTGACAAAGGGGCACGGGTTGCGGGGAGTCTGCCCCCACCTTGGGTTACCTGCTGACCCATTCCCTTCAAGTCTGTTCAACTCAGTCAACCCCATGTGAACTGTAGGGTTTCAACAGCTGGGCTTTATTTTGGACGTCGATCACTTGACCTTTCTTCGGCAGCACTGCTGAATGCACTAGGCATTTTAGCACTGAGCCCTGGTGTTGTAGTGGTTACACGCTGCTCAGCAGTTTGAAACTACCAGCAGGTCCTCGGGAGAAAGGCTGGGCTTTCTACTCCCGTAGGCGCGGAACAGTTCGTCTTGGAAACCCGCAGGTGGGTCACTATGAGTCAGCCTTGACCTGATGGCAGTGAGTTTGGTTTGGTTTTGGTTTCTAACAGGAGAGGAGCCCTGGTGGTGTAATGGAGTCTGCACAGCCTGCTAACCTCAAGGTCATCGGATCAAAACCAACCAGCTGCCTCAAGGAAAAAAGAGGCCTTTTGCTCCCATAAGAGTGACAGCCTCAGAAACCCACAGGGGCAGTTCTACTCTGCCCTATGGGGTCACTCCTCGAGAGCAGTGAGTTTGTTTGTTGAATGAGAGAAGTAGTTTTATAATTTAGTTGCTTTTTTTAACCCCCTCGTGTATGCAGAGAGCGTTAAAGATGTGCTGCCACCTGGTGGACAGTAGAGCTGTCTGCAGCCTAAGATCTGTAACGCTATGGAGGTTCCGGATTACAGAGATACACACACGGTGGAAGAAATCCAAGTGGCTGTACATTTTCTTTCTTTCTTTTTTTAACCCAGAGTCCTGGTAGTGTTGTGATTACGTGTTGGGTTGCTAACTGAAAAGTCAGCGGTTTGAAACACCAGCCACTCCGTGGGAGAAAGATGATCCTCTCTACTCCCATAAAGAGTCAGTCTCAGAATCCCACAGGGCAGTTCTACCTCGTGCTAGAGGGTCTCCAGGGGTGGGAATGGGAATGTACTTGATAGCCTCGAGTTGAAACAAGCTCTCCCTGACCCTTTTCAGACATGAGAGGGTCTCTATCTACTAACAATGAACTCTTCTTAGACAACCACACACTATTCTTTCCCCTAGAATTCAAGACATGTTGTATTAGTCTGCATACTTTGGAGAAACAAATCCACAGCAACTCATATATAAGAGAGAGTTTTATGTAAAGAAAATGTGCATCACGAAAACATCCCAAGCCAATGCTGGCCAAGGCCACAAGTCCAACATTAACCCATTAACCCAACACCAGTCCACAAAGTCCTCCACCTCACAAAACAGAGGCAATGATGCTGACTGCAGGAGGAAAGCTGAGTCAGTGAACGAACAAGCATCTCAGCACTAGCAGGGGTCTCCACACGGCTGCTCCAGCACCCAGGGCTGCCTCGGGATAGGTCCACATAGCTTCTCCTTGGGGATGTCTTGTAGGAAGTCAATCTTGCAAGCTGAAGCAGGGAACTGCTAAGGCAGCTGTACCCAGTGCAACCATCACAAAACAAGAGACCTGAGAACTAGAAAGGTGAGGCTCACCACCCATTTATCCCTCTGCCTTTCAATTAGCCCCACATGTGATTATCGGCCAGGCTGGCACAATTAACCAACTCACACGTCAAACAATAATACCTGTTTATTCTTCTGAATGTTTAGATTTGATGAGACATCTCCCCCTCTCCCCCTGCCTTTTTCATTGCTGTATTTTAAATGAGATAGAATTGGCTGACAGGGGTCAACTGTGCATCCCAGATGTCCTATAATTCCTCTCACTTTTAACTAGCTCCTGAACAACTGGTGAGCAATCCCCTTTACTGCCACCCTAGGGGTTGAAATGGCTATCGGGTTAGCTCTGACTCCTGATGAACAAGGGGCCCTGTATGATGCATCTTCACACGCTTTGGTGTGATTGAGTCCAGTGTTGCGGCCACTCTGCATTTTGAGAGACCCCGAACCTTGGGCCGGGGGCTCATCCTCCGGTGCCATCGTGGGCAGTACTCTGCTTGGACCCACCAGAGTTTCACGGGCTAACTCTCAGAAGCGGCATGCCAGCCTTTCTTCCTTGTCTGTCTCAGTGTGGCAGCTCCACTGAAGCTTGGCCACTTCTGGATGTCTTCAAAACCGCCGGCCTTGTCAGTGACTGTCTGAGGACAAACAGAATGCGCCAGCCTTAGCACTTAAGAAACGCACTTGTGCTTTCTTACAGTGTGTCAGGGAGCCACCGGTGATGTGGACGGGGCACAGCTCATCTTTAAAGAAGTTCAGAAACTCTTCAAAAGGAAAAACAATCAGATCGAACAGTTCTCGGTGAAAAAGGTAGGCTGCAGCCTATTGCTCTGGCGCATTGTTTTGGGTGGGCATTGGTGTCGCCAGTGCTACTTTGGATAGATTTGGGGAAATGATATTCAAGCTCAGAGACTTACTTGCAATGGAAAACGCAGTTCAGTTGCTGGGGAGGGAATTTTCTCCCCTGTCATTCTTCTACTCTGCAATGGAAGTTCTGGATTTGCTGCAAATAGCTAAATAGCTGCTGCTGCTGCTGCTGCTGCTGCTGCTGCGCTTTCTACTTCTGCCACTGCTGCTTACTTCTTCCGCTTTTTCTTCGACTTCTAGTTTTTTTCTTCTATTTCTTTGCTGCTTCTGCCATTTCTTCTGCTTTTGTTTTCTTTTCCTCCACTCCTTCTGTTTCTCTAACTTCCTCCACTGCTGCTTCTCCTGCTTCTTCCTCCTTCTGGTTCTTCTATTGCTGCTGCTGCCTCTCCATTCTGTAGAGCTGATAATCAGATCCAGGGAGGGAAGTGTCCATCCTTTGAGAAGATACAAAGGAGCAGAGCTGAGGTGAGAGGGCAGGTGGTGAGCACACCATATTTTGACTTATAATAAAAAAAAAGAAAAGTGTGCATTAAATAACCCACCTGCGGAGACAAGCACCTCCCCACCCCCACATCCCAGTCTATTCTGTAGTCTTAAGAATAAAACTTGGCTGAATCACCTCGAGGGACATGGCCCCTTACTTCAATCTTATTTCCCCTTGATTTCAGTCCAGTCTTTTTTTATTGACTAAATAGTGCAAACGTTTAATACGTTGTTTTAGACAGGGTTCTCTAAAGAGATAAAACCAAATTGCTGATAATTTAATATATTTATTTATAAAGATAATTAGATATATAACAAGAAATGAACTGTTAAATCATATACAGATAAATATATAATACAAGAAATAAACAGTTAAATTATAAAGCACTACAAATGGCTCAATGCAACTCACTCCCGTGAGAGAGAGTTGTGAGAGACTAGCAGTTCTTCAAGTCCTGTCTGCTGCCAGATCTTCCTCTATTTATAGAGAGAGCTAGGCTATGTCAGCACACCAGCCAATCAGAAGGCAGGTCACCAACTGCCAGCCAGGTCACCGACTGCCAGTCCCCAGCTCCAGAGATGTCTTAGAAGGGACCTCAACTTACAGCGACACAGTCCACAGGCTAGGCAGTGTAGTGTAAATTTACAGGTAGTGTAGCCTGTAAATTGAGGCACAGGACAAGCAAGGCAGCCGCACACTGGTCCGATGATCAAAGAGTGAGAGACAAGAAAGGCAAAACTCACCAAGCCATTTATCTCTCTGCCCTACAGTTAATCCCACTTGTGTTTATCGGCCAGGCTGGCACAATAAACTATCTCATACGTCTTAATTAGATTGTATTGTTAAATGCAACTCAGAGTACTGTATTTGGGACTAATGGGGAAAACTGGGACGCCCATCACAGCGTACGGAGGCACCCAGTTGTTCATCCATAGAGATCCACTGGACCTGGTGACTTACCTCTTCGTCCCCCAGCTATTATGAGTCTGCAGGTTTAAACTCAGATGAATCTAGTCTCGTTTTGACATTTCCAGAGGACATCCTTGATCTTGAGAGTAGATCGTGTTGAGCAGTGAATGACAGGCACCCATCCTAATACGTCAAAAACGGGAGAACAAGTTTCCTAGGAGAGGGCTTGTTGTTCGTTGCCATGGTGCTGGCGCTGGCACGGAGTGACCCATGTGTGACAGAAGCACGTGCTGGCCCGGCCTGCTCCATCTCTTGGGCTTTGGCATATTTCAGTCTGTGGTTGTAGCAAGTGTATCGGCCCATCTCACTACGGGTTCTCCTCACCTGCACTGGCCTTCCACCTTCCCTTCCCCGACAATTGTTTCCTCCTGATGACTCATGCCATTTAAGGTAGTCCAAGCCTCGGCCATAGGCTTTTCATTGGCTAATTTTTCGAGTAGTCTGCCAGACCTTTCTTCTTAATCTTCCCTCGTCTGGAAACTTCTGGCCACCATGGGTGACTTGGCTGGCATCTGAAATACTGGTAGCATAACTTCCAGCATCACGGCCTCAGGCCAGCACCACGCTGTGACAGAGGAAAGGGTGGGTGGTGGGTAAGAGTGGGCAGTCACTCACAAGTGACCTGTGTGACTTACGCGGCTCAAGAGTGGATTTTCATTTGGATTTGTTGGGGGGGAAAATGTAGCCTCATCTTCCTTACTACTTGCAGGCGGAGAGATTTCGGAAACAGACACCAACCAGAGTGCTCTGTGTGCTGGCCTCGATCGAAGTGTTATACCTGTGGAAAGCCCTCCCCAACTGCTCCTTCCCCAACCTGCAGAGGATGAGTCAAGGTAAAACCAAACACACCCATCGTTTGCTGGCCCAGTTTTCTCCCACTTCACACGCCCCTTCCTGACTCTGGCCACATGGCTGTCACTCTTGGATACATGGTCCAGGGACCCAAAAACCCAGTTGCTCAGGCGATAACAATGAAGGGCACTTGGTTCCGGGGACAGGCCTGCCTTTGTGGGTGTTTATGATGCGTGCTTAACACCGGTGGTGGTCATTCTGTGGTCCTGGAGGTTTCCAGAAGCACCCATGCTTTCCATGATGTGGAACATTCCCTCCACCCCTAAAATGCCCCTGAGACCCTTCTAGCCAACCCTCAGGGCAAACCCACCACCGCTCTGACCTTGATCTCTGTAGAAAGTTTTGCCTGTCTTTGAACAGCCTCGTACCGATGAGCTCAGACTGGATGTATACGTCATTGTACCTGGTTTCCTGTGTCCAGTTGGATGCAGGACTTGCGTGTGTTGTAGCCTGCACTGATACCTGGTGCTTTGACTTGTGCCGTAGTGTCTCACGATAGGACGCCAACCCCCTGCTGCTGAGCCATTGCCATCTGGGGAGACCCCAGAGCAGAAGTGCTCTGTAGGATTTGGGGATTATAGTCTTTTCAGACGCAATCACCGGGCCTTGACTCTGGGGTGCTGTTCGGTGGGTTCACACTGCCAACCTTTAGCTCAGTAGCCGAGTGGAAACCGTTGTGCCTCTCATGCTTCCTGCACATGGCTATAGCGATGTCACACTGCTTGTATTCAAAAACATGCCCGACCGGTGGACTTTCTGTTTGTTTCTGGTGTTCAATTATCAGGAAGAAGGCTTCTATAAACATAAGCATACACGACTTTGTTGTAAATTTATGCATTTAAAATAACCGAAGGCCCTCGGTTAGGGTAATATAACCTTGGTAAAAATCATATTTTAATAGTGGTAGGAAGCATTCATTGGAGGAATCAACCCAGTCTTTAAATATAATTGGGTTTTTTGATATAAGATATTTAACAGTAATTAAGATAGAAACACAATATGAGAGGGCTTCAGAAGGGGGGGGGGGTGTCATTATCTTTTCCTTCCATTTTTTTCCCCTCGAGCTTTCAGAAGCCCTTCCTCACAGACGGACAGTCACTGCCAGGCACGACCAGGAACAAGCAGTGCTGAAGTGGGATTTGACTCCACATTCTTTCCACCCGGTCCTCGGGATGCAAGTGAAACGAAAAGAAAGAAAGTCAGTTTTATTTGAAAGGCTTAATGACACATTCAGATGGCACCTGATATTCGGGAAAATTATGCCATTATCTTCACTCTGCAACCCCAACCCCCTAAAAGCCAAGCCCACCGCCACCGGGTCCCTTCACCGGGAGCCCAGACAGGGTTTCCCAGGCTGGACAACTCTTCAGGAAGTGGGCAGTCTCGGCTTGCTCTCTGGGAGCAATTGGTGGGTTTGAACCCCTGAGCTTGCAGCCAGCAGCCCCACCCCTAATCCACAGACCCCCCAGGGCTCCTGCTGTGCAGCCTGGAAGGAGGAAAGGCAGTCAATGTTGCCAGACCCGTTTCCTTATGAGAAAACGGAGACTTCGAAAGGAGATTTGCACTGATCCCTTAGGAGCAAGTCGCCATGGTGCCGGGCAGGGGATCAGACATCGGGGAGCAGGCCTTCAGCTCGTCCGCCCAGAGCTGCACCCGCTGCGGGGAGTAGTTCAATGATGCTTCTAGGAGCATGAGCCACGGAGAGACTGCTGCGTCAACAGCAGAGGGCAGGCGTGCAAGACCCAGTGGCCATGCAGAAAATACGTGGTTTTGGAAATGTGTTCTTAATCAGCTCTGCTGCCCTTTGTGAGCTAGGTTTAATGTCTTGGCCTTGTCCCCGAATAGTGGACACACACCTGTGAGAACACTCGTCCGATCTCTCATATGGTTTCACTCGCTTGGGACTCATCATGGCACTCTCCCACCTAATTCACAAGGAAAACAATCATCCAAATATAAGGCTTTAGCCACAAAATCACCCTGCTGGATCCTCAGCGTCCCTGGAGGATGCTGCCTTTTGTCTCGTTCTAAAGGAGGAAGAGAAACAAAGAGGTCCGCCCTCAGGTGTTAGAGACCTGCCAGGGAGGCTGCCCTGGAAATCCAAGTCAGCTAGCAGCCAGGGCCTGCCAGAGCAGTGGCCTGTCACTGGGGTCAAGTGTCATGCTGCCCAGGGGGCCATTTGAGAGGAAATAACCATTCTCTCGGAGGCCAAGGTTCTGCTGGGTTTGTTACAGAGAGATCTGCGCCATTTAGAAACCTGTTTGTTGAAAGACGCGTAGAACTCTATGATTGGTTGTCCAACTCTGCCACAACTCAGGAGTTTGAACAGGGTCATAAGCCACTCGTGCAAGGGTCACTTATTTAGTGGTAATTAAGATAGAAATACAGTATGAAGGGCCTTCAGAAAGCTTGTGGAAGAAAAATTCATTCTTTTCATCCCCCACCACACCCCCTGCTCCCTCAAAGAGCTTTCCACCACCCCCCTGTATCAGACAGACAGTCATTGACAGGCACAGATGAGAACAAGGAGTGTGAAGTGGGATCTGACTCAACATTGTCTCAAGAACTTCCTAGGAATCCCAGTGCACACTAGCAACACCGATGCAGTTGGTCGGGGACATGAGAGCTTTCTCAGAGAGAGCAGGAGATAGATAATCTCTTTGTATCTTTGTTAGGTGTTAATCCAATCTGCGAGCTGCCCGTTCAATTACATTACTCCCTGGTGGTAAGCCAGATGATCCAATTTGACACAAGCCTGCAGGGAGCAGCAAGATCTTTATATAGAAGTAGATCCCAGAGGAAGGTTGGGATGGGTCATGTGGATCCTGCGTAGCTATTAGAACCTTTGCATGAAGCCCGCCTTGAGTCCTCAGCAGGAACGCCCTTTGTCAGTGGAGCTAGAGTCTTAGATCCTGTGGTTTCATGCATAGCCTGTCCTGCCCACTGACCCCTCTCCACTGCATCCTACCTCTGCATGTTTAAGATGGTCTCTCTGTTCTCATCACAGCAGGCAAGTTATCATATGAAAACCTAAGCCATATCCTGGCAGGAGCCCTGGTGGCATCGTGGTGTATGCATTCGGCTGCAACCCACAAGGTCAGCAGTTGGAAACCATTAGCCACTCGTCGGGAGAACGATTGGGCTTTCTACTCCTGCAAACAGTTACAATCTCGGAAACCCACAGGGGCAGTTCTCTGCCCAGTAGGGTCAGGTCACTATGAGTTGGCATCAACTCGATGACAGTGAGTTTTGTTTTTGGTATATCCTGTCAGTCCACTTCTCAGATAGTGGCCACTCACCTCACTCAGGCCTGCTGCTTCGGCCTGTAGTACCCTGCACCCTGCACCCCTGCAGGCTCTGGTATCTCTCACTGCTCATCCACCTTGCTCACTGGGGTCCACCTCACCTCTCCTTACTGCTATTGGGCACACCAGCCCCGCACTGGCCACAGGGCCTTTGTATTTACATTCCCGGCCAGAATGCTTTTCCCCACATCCACATGGTGTGTTTCAGTGAAGAGTAATCTGTATCTCTTGTACCCTCCCACCCCTACCCCCCAACTTCCAGACCTTTTTAAAAAGCCCTAGCAGAGGTACACTCATTTAACAAAAAGTTTCACTTGCTTTTCCCCCCTCTTTATCTTCAATATTTGTCCCTCCCACAAAGTGTGAGCGATACTTCCTAGGGGCAGGGATGCAGAGATGTTGCCTGTGCTGACCACTATGAAATTCCAGGCACACCTAGAACTGCCCGGTATACAGGAGTTAGTCAATAATAGAGAATGAGGCATGAATGGATTGTATTTTGTTCCCTAAACTGCCACCTCTTTATATGCGGCATGCTGGGATTGGGGAGGGGATAGAGCCCCTGCTCCTGTAGCTCAGACTCGACTCTCCTTCACACTTAACTTCGACATCACTTGTCGAGCCCAGCTCTACCAGTAATGTTTATTCTTCATGGTTGAGCGGTATGTGAAAGTTCATGGAGAAATGGATTGGAAAGAGAATGGAATTTTTCCATAAACCGTTTCCCCCCTTACCCAGTATGCAAGGAGGCTTCAAAAAGTCGGGAGAAATGATCTTTCTTTTTTCTTGTTGGTTAACTTTGTATTGGGAATTCAGTGGACGTTTACAGAATAAATCATCCGTTTTATGTCCAACCAATCACACCCATCTTGCTCCAGCTCCTCCATTGCAGTCCCCTCCACACCATCGCTCCTTCCCTCCTCCCTGTGTTTCCTCTTCCCATCCCGCCTCCTTTCCTAACCCTCGGAGCGTCGTCCTAGTTTGACTTGGGAGAGTTTAGCTTCAGACCTGAAGGGTGACTGAGAGCCATCATCTTGGGGGTTCCCCCAGCCCCTATCTAACCAGGGAGTCTCTGGTCTCTGGTCTCATTGCTGATTGCGAGTTTTGGTCCACGTTTTCCTCCCACATGTTCCCGGGCCTCCTAATGGGAGCCTTTCAGAGCAGTTGCGGGTGGTAGACAGGCACCATGTGGTTCTCCCGCTCTGAGGGTGGTTTCTGTAAACTTTCTGAAGCTCCTTCATACATGTATCGTGTATACAGATGCGTGCACACACTTGCGCACACGCATGTGTAGTCATATCAAGGCTCAAGTGCCTTACGGACTTGGGGAAGTGATTCTATCACTGCCTTCCTTGCTCTATTACCTCCACCGTGTCTCACTTCCCACCTTTCTCGTCTCCTGGGAGAAAGCCAACGGCATCCGCTCCCAGAGCCTGGGCCCAGAATATACAAGCTGCTTGATGTGAAGGGTTGCGGTCTGATCCCTCCCCGAGCTCACGACAGCACCTCCTACCACCTGTGCAGGCGTCGGCTGCGTGTTTGTTGACATCCCTGTGATGGAATCTTGAGTCTCCTTGGCTCTATTAAGTTTGTCTCGTGCCCCTTTCCTTGATGCTCACCAGTGATTGAGAAAGGGCTACGTTCCAGGGGCAGCGGCACGAGGGAAAGGCTTCCTGAATGTTCCCTGAATGTTCTGGCTGCTCTTCTCTTTCAGCCTGCCATGCAGTGGACGATTCGCATGTGGTTGGATTAAAGTATTTGCTTCTTGGTGCCATACACAAATGTCTAGGAAACTCCCAGGATGCTGTTCAGGTAAGCGGTTGCTATTGTTGTTGCGGCTTCTCAAAATAACCCATGGACACCTCCGTTTACTCTGGTAAGAAACAAAAAAACCGATAATGCACTAAACAAAGCAAAAGCTCTGACAGCGAGGCAAACATTGGCCACTCTGCTTGGTGACTGTCATTTCTCAGACGCTGGGAGCCGACGATGGCACACCTCAGTTTTCCATGTAACTTTGGTGGAGGTGGGGGGCGGTGGCGGTGCTTTGCTGGCACTAGCTGGTTATCAAAGGACAGTCTCATTTGGCGTTAGGGAGAAATGAGAAGGCAGGTGACTTGGAAGGATTCGCTGGAGCCTCGTAGGTAAAGAAGACAAGCACATGAGCAGGCGTCTCGGTGCACGTCTGCTTCCCTCTCGCTCTCCTTTTGCAGATTACGCAGGGAGCCCTGCAGGGGCGGGCTGGGTTGTGTTGTTGTTAGTGCCGTTTTGGAGGCTCTGACCCCACATACCTGGTACAAACACCACCACCACCACCACCACCCCACCACCACCCCCACCCCCTCACCCCTGCACAGTCCTGCGTCATCATCACAGGAGTTGTTACGGTGGAGCTCATTGCCGCAGCCACTGTGTCATCGACCTCATTCATGGCCCTCCTCTGTCTCACTGACCCTCTACTTCACCAAGCGTGATGTCCTCCTCCGGGATATGCCTACAGGACACGAGATCGTCTCGCCAGCCTCTCTTCTCAGGAGGGTCTCCTCTTTCCAAGACGCATGGGCTCCGTCTTCTGGCCATCCACGCTGTGTGCAGTATCCTTCGCCAACATTTTCAAAGGCGTCTCTTCTTCTCCAGCCTTGCCTATGTAGACATTGTCTGGTGTCCACATGCATATGAAGGGATCCAAAATACCGCGGCTGGGGTCAGGCACACCTTCGGTCTCAGAGTGACATCTTTGTTTTTAACATGTCAGAGACGCTTTTGCTGCAGATTGACCCAATGTGATCTGTTACTTGATTTTTTTGACTGCTGTCTCAATGGGCATTGATTTGGGGATTCAAAGAAAGGGAAATTGTTGGCAGCTCAATGCGTTGTGTTCATCATGAGGTTGCTTATTGGTCCGGTTGTGCGGATTTTTGTTTTTGTGTGTCGTCGTCGAAGTATCCCTCCACCATCCTCAAGGTCGTTGTCTTTGATCTTCAGCAGTTAGCACCTCAGGTCCTTTTCACCAAGCAGGTTGGTGTCATCTGAAAATTGCAGGCTTATGATGTTATATGACGTGAGTAAGAATCATTTGCTATTCTCGAAGCTAGCTGAAGGAAGTTTTCTGTATTTTTAATTTGTCTTCCTGGGTTGCTTTTCAATAATTATATTCCAGTGTGCATGGGTTTAGCTTTTTATTGTGAACTGGGTGAAGGTTGGCAAGAGCTCACCAGGTTTTCATTCAACAATTCATATATGTTTTGTTTCGTCTGGTTGATGGAAGTTCCCATAGTAAAATGTCACTCTGGTACTTCCTGTGTCTCCTGTTTCCCTTCCTCCTCCTCTCCTAACCCTTCTGAACTTCAGCCTTGAGTAAATGCTGCCCGTTTGATCTCATATGGCGCATTCTTCTGAGGTGTGTGTGCTTTGCTGGTACATGGCGCCCCTTACTGTTCGGCTGACCATGGAGCCTCAGGTGAGTTCATTTACAGTCTTAACGAGTCTGTAAATGAGGGGCCATCGTCTCAGGGGTTTCATCCATCTCTGAGACTAGTATTCCTGTTTTGTTTCTTTCTTAATGGTTTTAGATCTTTGTCCACACGTTTCTCCCATTCTTTCCAAGGCCTTCTGAGGTATCCCTTTAAGAGCAGTTGATCGGGGGAAGTCAGGCACCATCTAGCTCTTCTGGTCTCAGCGGCTTGGAGACTGTGTGTGTGTGTGTGTGTTCCATTGGACCAGTGTGTGTGTGTGTGTGTGTGTGTGTGTGTGTGTTCCATTGGACCAGTCATTCCCATGCGTCCTCCATTTCCTTACTCTTACCTTCTCCAGCTGGGAGACACATGAGATGGTCATTCATGCTATTTTAAGTCCCAGTTGCTACTCAGCAAAGTAGGATGTCGCATATTGTCTTTGTCATGCCAGTTGAGTGCCCCTCCAAGTCATAGGCCGGGACCCCAGGCTACGCAACTCATTCCCTCGGGTGTTTGGTTGGGTCTAAGACGTGTTTGTGACGTGGCCCCCCCTGTGCTTCACCATCTTCACAGATATCTTTTCAGCCAAGCTAAACACACAGGGTGAAATGCCCTCTCCCAGACCTGTATGTTTCATCTCTTTGTGGGTGTGCGCCCCTCTTCTCTCCCTCCCACACTTGTTCAGCCTGCATCTCTGTCCACACATCATTTGGTAGGTCAGCATAATTGTCCCGGGTGTGTGTATCACAGGGCTGGTCTCTGTTGGCCTTCACTCTGGCACTTGCTCGGTGTCTTTTCCCTGCCTGCCCCCTTTCGGCTGACCTCTCAGTTCCTGAATGCATCGCTCACGCATGTTCACACACGGCTGCAATTTTCCCTCCCTCCTCTTCCTCACACTCCTGGTAACCATCGAAGACCATGTCTTTTAGTATGAACACCTTTCTTGAGGTCTCCTAACAGTGGTCTCCTGTCCTGATTTGTCCCTGTTGATGAGCTGCATCCACTCCGCATCATGCCCCGCAGGTTCATCCATGTGGTGCAGTGTTTCGCAGATTCGTTATCTTCTTGAACATCGTGTGGCCTCTGACTGGGTGTGTGTTACTTCTCTCAGGGGCACTTACCTGGTTTCTGTCTTTTCTGTTACTGTGAAGAGTACTGCAGTGAGCATGAGGGGCCTGGATCGAGTGGTGTCATCGCTATAGTTTCTCTAAGACAGATACCAAGGAGAGGGATCTCTGGGTCGTGTGGTATGTCTGGTTTCTGACTTTGGAGTGAAGTACCATCACCGCGTCCACACTGGTGATCCCCTTTTAGAATCCCACCTGCAGTGTCTGGGGGCTCTAGTCTCCGGGCCCTCACCAGCATTTGTTTTTTTCTATTTTTTTGAGCCTTGTTATTAGTGCTGGGGAGAGGTGATAATTCATTATTGCTCCAATTTGCATCTTTAATGGCTAGTGATCACATGCATTTCTGAATGTTTGTTTGTTGGCCACCCGACTTTCTCCTTTGGTAAAGTAACTGTGTTCTCTGCTCATTTTCAGTTGGACAGCCTAGTAGTGGGAGACTTTTGACATTTGAATCCTAGAGCATTGATACACTTGTATTATAATTATTAATTACCATCGCCACATGGAGTAAGATAGAGTTGTTATTATTACAGAGCTCCAAATGGCTTCTTTTAAATCTTATGTTTAAGTACCAGCAAGATACTTAATGGGCACAAGATGGTTCTTGGTGTGTTTGTTCTGTGCTTTACGTATAAAAATTGGGGTGTTCAGACTTTGAGATACAGAATTTCTTAGTAGTAAAGTCAATAGAGGCTGGTGTGTTTCCTGAAAAAAATAAATAAATAAAAGCTTCACATGGGCTGGCTAGTGGGTAACATATCATGGAAGAAGATCGCCAGATGTGTCTGGGAAGGAGAATGGAGAGATGAGAATTCTAGAAATACGGACTGGACTTAATGGAAAGAAAGGAAGATGAGGAAAAAAACCGTAATACTGAATCTAGGAAAAAAATGAGTCTTAATTATTTGCCCACCAATTGAAGATTGTGATGTGCCTGAAGTTAAATAGGGAAATGTATTCAGACCATTAACACATGTGTGATTTGCATCCAGTTCTTTCAGCGTGCTGCTAAAGATGAGTTGTGTCGTCAGAATAACTCATATGTTCAGCCCTACGCCTGCTATGAACTTGGCTGTCTTCTATTAGACAAACCGGAGGTGAGTTCCTAGATAATTTTCAAATAATCTCCCCAACTAGAAATGGACAAAACATTCCTTATCCAAAGTAACTTGGCTGAATAGAGGAGGGGCCTTCAAACAATTCACAGAGAATTCCCACGGTCCTGATTGCATTTTTTTCTATCAGCTTTTGAAGCTACTGCGTTTTGCTCTTTGTTTCCCTGGCTTTTGCTTGAGAAAAGTCCAAGCAGCTACTAAACCTCCTCACTTGTCAGAGGAGACGATCTCGCCTCAGGAATTAGGATTACAAAGTCACTTTTTAGATAATGATTCACTTGAGGGGAAAAATAGTGCCTTTTTCAGAATGATCTGATGTGACGTGGCTTTTTCAGAAGCGCACTGAATTAGATTATGATCCTAGTCTGGCTATTTTGTGTCTGGCACTGATTAAGTTACTTAACCACATAGTTCTCTCCGAATCTGTAGTATGGATTTTCCAGGGCCAATTAAATAAACGTTAATAGTGAGATAAAAGAGCCCAAGTAGTTTAGCACGCAGTTGTTAATCAAGAGGTCAGCGGATTGAACCCCCAGCTGCTCAGCCCGAGGCAGGTGTAGCCTCTGCGTCTCCAGAGTTTGCAGCCTTGGAAGCCCTGTGGGCGGCTCCACGCTTTCCCGGAGGGACCTGTGAGTGGGAATCCACTGGATGGCCGGGGTCTGGTGTGTTTGCTCTTTTTGGTAGTGAGATAAATAAGAATAATATGAAAATAGGTATATGAAAATAATAGGTAGGATTGCTAAATTTTTGGATTATCATATAAATGTGATTGTTACTATTAATATGTATATAGCTAGTGCAATGAGGTAGATTTTAGTTCCTGGTGTTTTGTTTGTTTGTTACAGTAGTTTATAGTAGGATTCCAGTGGTGCCTGAATTTGTTTGGCACCTTCTATTAGAAACTCGGGTTATATAATGCTGGCTTTATAAAACCCTATTTTTTCCCCCATTAAATTTAACTAAGCTTTCAGATACTTCAACTGTGTGAAAATTAGGCTAAATTAACAGAAATATGACTGTAGTCTAATTATTAAGCATTTAGCCCACAGATGGGCTGTTAGTTTGAAAGTTTTTAATTAAAAAGCCTTTGAAAGTCTCATTTTACCAAAACAGAAGACAGTTTTTGTCAACGTGGGTAGAAATTACTGGGTACCAATGACATTTTTACTTTCAAGATAGTCATAGAATGTATGACTGTATATGTGTGTGTGAAGGTATGTATATAAATATATATAGTGAGTATGTATACATCTATACAATATAATATACACTCTATTGCGAGAAATATAAATGCAGTTGAGTTAGCATATCATTCTGTGATGGTTTTTCCTGCGTATGTGTGTGCCTGTGTGTGCATCTATTAAGAGGTAACATATATGTATATTTTGCATCCATAGACTGTCGCACGAGGCAGAACTCTACTTCTTCAAGCAAAGGTAAAATACTGAATCTACCATTGTCCTTGACCTGTCTGACCCTTTTTAGGGTACCCTTGAGTCTGAATTCAAGAATGCAGAATAAATATTCTGGTTGGAAGGAGAAGTGTTCATTAATTGAATCAGCCAGAACTTGATTTGGAAGCAACATCACAGAGGTCATAAGGCATTCCTATCCTGTAGTTCATCCGATTTCATAAACACCCTGCTCTTCCCTGCTTGGGAAAATAACTTGATTGCAGAACTAAGTTCTCCAACCAAGAAGTACTAATAGTAACTTACAATGAGCATGCCTTAAAAGGACCACTTCCAGAATGGCCTGTGGAAGTTTTCCCAGTGTGAGCAACATGGATAGTCGGTTGACATTTCCAAAAAGAACACACCGTTTGAGATTTGGGGAGTGGAAAAAAACAGGTTGATGTGAAGCCTTTACTAAGAAGGAAGGGCTCTTTCTTTGGGAAGCACCAAACCTCGTGTGATTTATCTTGTAGTGTTTCCTTTCCAGTCCCATCAGTGTTTGTGTTTGGCCTTGCAGGAGGACTTCTCGGGCTACGACTTTGAAAACAGACTGCATGTGCGCATCCACGCGGCCCTGGCGTCTCTGAGGGAACTGGTTCCTCAGTGACCAGCCCGGAGTTCCTGCTCTGTCCTTCCCACCCAGGTTCTGCACTTTAGAATAAAAGCAGAGGACAAAGCTCTGGTGAAGACCAGCTTCTCTTCTGAAAACCACCTGTGCCACAGACACGTTTTCCAGTTAGGCTGATCCATTTAAAAAAAGAACACCTCTTCTTTGGAACGTATAGCTAAAAATTAATAATATTAACAAAAGACAACGATAAACACCTGGGAGAGGGTGAAGTGACCTTGTTCACATATTTTACTTTTGTGATTTATTATTTTTAAAATAAAGTCAAACTAAGTATTGAACCTGTAATCTTGTAGAAAGCTGTAACTGTAAGCACATATCAGACTGGGTAACGTGGAGAGATCCCTGGACCATGGCTAACAGTATCAAAACATAGTCTCTGTATTGTGTTTTGAAAAAAAATAAACGTGCTTCCTAGTCTTTTACTTTTACCCTCAGAATATTCCTGGGCATGATGTAGCCCAGATAGTCTTGGGCCCCATTTAATGAAACTCAGGCATACAAAGCCAGTTGACTTCCCCAGTGATGTCTGCAGAGTCAGGAACAGGCTGAGGATTTCCTGACCGCCTGCGGATGCGCTTTCATTGTGAAAAAGATCCGTGTCAGTAACACCAAATCCCACGTTCTCCTCATTCAAAATCAAATGCTTTTCAGCTGAAGTTGAACCATCAAAAACATCTCCAGATTGTCTACAAAATGTTTCCAAACGAAGAACGTGTTCATTCTTTCATTGAAAGCCAGCCAAATGAAAGGAAATAGAAAATAATTTTACAACCAAAACTGTAACTCTCTTTTGCTAATCCATTAAAAAGCCTAGTCTGCAGACTAGATATTTAATACCTACAATTTAGGAGTTTCCATTTATTTGTGATATTGAATTACTAACTTTTAGAAATCTTTTACCCAGTTACATGAAAAGGTTATTCTTGAATGAATAGATATATATTTTTTGCCTCAACGTATGTGTTGGTGAATGATTTGCTGAGCTATATGTTGCCAAGATTTAATTATTTCCCCCCTTAGCTCAGGTTATTACAGATTATCAAAGGAATTAGAGTTATTTTTCTAGTCCCTTCTTGCTCATCTTTTGTTGTCATTTCCTTGACCTCCAAGTCCCCTCCTCGCACACCTGTGATTTTGAAGGATCTAAATACCTCCATCACTTTGGAAGAATTTTTGCCAGAATTGTGTGACTAAGTTGGCTCTGAAGGTGTGATTTTTCAACAATTTCTTTTGCGCTAAAGGATCCTGTATTAGACTGTCATTTCCGTACCTGTCCTTTTGGCTGAAGCACGGCTTCGTGTGAGGTGAATATGGCGGTGCGTCTTTTTCCCTTTCGTTTTCTCGAAGTAGAACCTGAGAAAAGCATCCAGCATGCTGGCCGACTTCATCTGACGTCATAGGGGGTTGGCGGAACAGTCGTTTCTCTGAAAGAAGTTGTTCTTCCGCACTGACGTTGACTAAACTCTCTTCGTGTGTCCTCGTCTCTGACGGACCACTTGGGAGGGGCGCATCCCGCAGGATTTATGCACACTGCCTTCCCAGGGGCCTTCTGCGAGAAGGGGTGCTGCCCCAACCGTGAGGGGGGCTGAGTAGTGTCAGAAACCAAGCAGGTGCTTTCTGACAAGAAACATGGGTGTCTAACAATGCCGGATATCATCTGGGTTGGAGGGGAGACATTACGAAACTTTAACACATGGGCCTTTTTCTTGTCCACAGTCAGAGTCAGATGCAACAGAAGTGTCCTGGTTTCCAGGTCGCGCTAGCTTCCCATCGTGGCCGGCCACAGGCTGGCTAACCACCTTCCCGGGACGCTCTGCCTGTGGAAAATGTTTGAGTTCTTCCTCTCGGTCAGGTCTGCCCCTCTGCAGATCCCATCTTCTGCAGGTTCCCCTGTCTATGGAGAGCATTCCTTCGTGAAGCTTGTGAAACCCTCTGTATCGTGAAGTTCTTGAATTTCCATGCATATAGGATTAGGACTATTATTATTTGAAGATTACCAAAAAAAGAAAAAAAAAAACCTTCCCTTTACAAAATTATTTACTACTGGCTTAAAAATAACTTATTTCTCCAGAGAAATGTCAAGAATTTAAGCAAGTTTATGTTCAACTCACGTAACTGGATAAGCAGCGTTCCAGCACTGTCCATTCGATTTCCTCTAGTAGTCAAAGAGAAAGCCTGATTAGAAACCGTCCCTCCGGGCCCTGGTCCATATGGCTCCTGTGATATATCTGTGATAACATGACAGCATGAAAACTTTGTCGATGGTGATTCTAAAGACGACAGCAACCAAGCCAAGATTCACAAAGTTCTTGCTCCACAGTGAGCGTGGGTATACCAGACCAGTAGGTTGACTGAAATCTGAATGTATTTTTGAGTTGAATCATTCCCAGCAGTTACCTGGCCTGTGTACTGTGACTTATTTGACCTGTGAACTGACTGTGATCTACCGAGTAGCCTGGTTTGGCGTAAATGGCTGTTTAACCCTTGCTGATGAAGAAAATAATATTTAAGTGGAACTCTGTGTATATGTGTGCTTTTTTATTTCCTGCTACCATCCCTGACTCCTCCTCCCCCTTTCTCATCTTGAAGGCTTTCAGATAGACCTTCAAATTTAATAAGTGTCAGATACACTTTTATGTTAGCTTATACCTATGATGGAAGAAATCACCAAAGTATGTTGCCTCTTCTAAGCATATATTTTTATAATATGATACATTTGGGGCATGGTCTAATAATAACAATAATATAATGTCCATCTTGCTGGTTAATATGTAAACAAGTTTACCGTGACTGGGTTAGGCATCTTTTTTATTTGAGCTCATGAACACGTCTCTTTCAGATGGCACAGAGAGGAAGAATTGTCACCTGTTGTCTGTGACAATGACTTACAGGACTGTACTTTCATATTTTTGTCAAAATAAAGGACAGTACACAACTGAATTTTAAATTAGACACAGAAACATACATGCGCACATGTTTCCTATTTAGTGTGTAAATGCTTTCCTAATTGACAGCTTCCTTAAGCAAATAATGGTGGTAAATATTGAAATATGGCTTTGTACCTAAGAAAATACATATTCATGCAGGTATGATGTACTGTTTGGCATTTCGTATATTATTTTGAATTACGTTGGTGGTGTAGTTTGTGTTAAGAGCTTCCTGGTTTAGTGAGTTATGCATTGGGCTGCTAACCACAAGGTCAGCAGTTTGATCCGACCAGCTGCTCCTCAGAAGAACTATGAGGCTTTCTGCTCCCATAAAGATACACAGCCCGAGACAGCCAAAAAGGCAGTTCTGCTCTGTCCTGCAGGATCATTATGAGTCAGAATCGATACAATGCAATGCTATACAAGGGGTACACCCCCCCAACCTAGGTATTTAATTTTTTTTACAAAACAACCTTATCACCTTCAAAGTACTCTCCATTACACTTAATACATTTGTCAAATCTGCGATTCCATACTTGGAAACATTTTTGAAACTCATCTGTTTGGATGGCTTACAGCACCTCCCTCATTTTTTTTCTTCACCTCTTCTACAGCTTCAAACCACTGTCTTTTCATGTCCCTCTGCATTTGCACGGAGTGAGGTCAGGGCTAGTAAGGTGCGTCGGGCAAGAGAAGCATGCTGGTTTTTGCCCAAAACTGGTGCATTGAGATGGCTGCATGAGCAGGTGCCTTGTGGCAAAACCAGTCTCCCACCTGCCACAAATCAGGCCTTTGTTTTCGCACAGTGTTAACCTTTTCAGAACCTCTAAATAGAAAGCTTGATTGTCTTACCTGGTGGAACGAACTCCAAATGCACTATCTCCCTCACGTAAACAAAAACATCGTTTTTTTTTGGGGGGGGGTACCCCTCATATTTTATTCTCACAGCTCTAAAACAGAATTGCTATGCCCAGATGATCCCAAGGGATAGATACAAATTAAACCCTTGTTAATGAGTTGATGCTGACTCAACAAGGATCTTACAGGACAGAGCAGAACTGCTCCAGAGGGGTTCTGAGGTGGTAAATCTCTCCTTCCTCCGACACACAGTAGAAGGAAAAGACTTAGAAACTGGGAAGAGGGTATGCCACGAGGGGCGGGAGTAGTCAACCTATAAGAGATTTGCTCTTTCTGCCAGCAAAGTATCCACAAATCACAGTGTAGTGCAGCTACCTGGCTTTCTCGTAAACAAGCAAAGGGCTGAGCCTTTTGACCAAGTTAAGTCAGGTATGAAATAGAAACAACTCATTATCACTCAGGCCAGTGCTTTTCAAATGGTAGCGTGCTACACAGGAGCTCTACTTTCCGAGATTTGGATGCTTCAGTAGGTTCCAGGTTGGTGTTTTTTAACCAGCTCTTGAAATGATTCTAATACAAGTGGCCCATATTGGAGAAACACTCTTACAGCATCATTTTGGGGTGTTTAGTAACTTTGGGAGAAGAGTGATGGGCAACAATGAATTGCACAGCAAGATTAAGCTCCAGTTGCCTATCATAGGGCCATTGAAATTCTTGCAATCCACTGGCTTCTTGAGGTGGAAGGTTTCAGAGCTGAGCTTGACAAGATAAGGATGATGCAGAAAGGTGAAAAGAATGCTCGAACCCCCAGACTTTGGGTACAATGAGGAAAAAGCACAGAGGGGTGAGAAACAGCATGTCTTCAAGACCAAGTCTCTAGAGAGTTAAGTGGGAGCCAAGTGGTGACAGATGAGATAGGGAAAGTGTGTAGTGATCATGGGAAGAATCTTGGACCTCATTGCCAAACCCACAGCCATCAAGTTGATTCTGACTCATAGTGACTCTGTAGGACAGAGGAGATTTCCAAGGCTCAGATCTTTACGGGAGCAGTAAGCCTCTTCTTCCACGGAGCAGCTGATGGATTTGAACTACTGACCTTGTGGTTATGTATGTAACCCCTGCCACCAGCGCTCCAATTTCTGATGCTAGGTGGCTCTATACAGTGTTTCTGAAAATCATTACAGGAGCCAAGAGATTGTGAACCACTGACCTCGTTAGCAGCCTACTCAGCACCAGTTTGCTTGGGGTGGGACAGGTGTGCATTTTAATTAGATCACGAGTGATTGGACAGGAGAAAAGACAAAAACTAAATAGTTCAAGAAATCAAAGTAGGAAATGGATGATTTTGGAAATCTTGGTTACACATTTTTATTGTAAAGTGTGCAGTTCAGAATGACTCAGACAAAAGGATTGAAGAAATGAGTAAAATCTTGCCTTGTGAGTTAAAGGTATCCTCTACTGTACCTTGAATGCTGCTTCCATCAGCACCAAAGTAGAGTATAGAATACCTTCAAGCAGCAGTCAAAGGCTCAAAAGAGACATTGCATTAGGTAAATTAGCACAAAACCTTTTTAGATTGTTGAAAAGCAAGGAGGTTACTTTGAGGACTATCATGTGCCTGACCTAAGGCATAGGATTGTCACTTACCTCGTGTGCATGTGAAAGCTGGACATTGAATAAAGAAGACCAAAGAAGAGTCAATGCATTTGCATTGTGCTGGCAAAGAATGTTGAAAGTGTCGTGAACTGCTAAAAGGACAAACATCTGTCTTGGGAGAAGTCTGACCAGAGTGCTCCCTAGAAGCAAGGATGGCAAGACTGTCTTACATAATTTGGACATGTCAGGACAATGACATCATGCCTGATAAAGTAGGGGGACAGCAAAATAAGGGAAGGCCCTCAAGGAGATGGGTTGGCACAGTGGCTGCACAATGGGCTCAGGCATAGCACCCATTGTAAGGGTGGCGCAGGACCATGCAATGTTTAAGTCTTGTGCACAGGGTCGCTATGGGCCAGAACTGGCTCGATGACATCTAAAACAGCATTCTGAACCTAACAGCTGCTAGGTACTCAAGATCACTCACCCAGGTTGGTTAGGCTAAGGATGATAAATGTCTCCTGATTCTAAAAGAGACCATTAATGGGCTCTCTAGTGATCTTCCCAGGAGGCAGGATTGGAGTACCCAAGGGGAAAGTAAGCATCGGCTTACTTGTTCATACTAAAGGGTAGTGAACAATTTCTTTTTTACATCAGAGGTTATGCGTCTAGGTGTTTGAGATCTACCAAGTTCACAACACCTGCCTACAGAATCAAATCACTTCAAATTTATAATCCCTGGCAGGTAGAGTAGCCAGTAAGCAAGGTACACACAGGCTTATTTTTTATCTTTGATATGAAAATCCATGTGAAACTGATGTAGGCAGAGGCCTGAATCTTGCTATTGCAAAGTGGTCCAGAAGCTGTTAAATTTTTTTTCTAGGAAAAGAATCAAAAATAAAAAACGATCTTTTCTCGTTTGTTTGCTTGTCAGATATCAAATGCACTTTAGCCATTGGTTTATACCGGCTCTTGTTTTTCAAACATGTCTGGTTGGGTCAGATAATCGTGATAGTGGTGTATTTACTGCCCAGCAGAGACATGTGACCCCGAGTGGTCGAGAAAGCCGCAAGTGGGTCCTTTCAAATGTAATTCATTTTGATAAAACAGCGGCATGAAATACTTCTGTTGCGGGCTGTATCACTTGGTGGGGAGAGAACCCTAGCCAACTGGGAAGAGAAGACTGAGCCTTAAGGATTGATCAGGAGAGGCACTGATCACTCCACAGGCCTCTTCCTCGAAAGGGAAACTGCCAATTGCATCAATGGTTCTTTCCCCACAGGGTTTTCTGAACACTGGTGGAAGTTCTTCCTAAGGTTGACCCCGGGTGAGTGCGAGCGGAGGTGGTGACAAGCAAGATTTCCATAAACCCCCCCAAACCAGCTCTCCTTCTAGACCAAGGACAGAAAAGCCTTCATCTCAACCTACGCCCCGACCCCCGGCCGTTTGGAAACCCCGAGTGCCAATCTTTTCCTTTTGGCGTCCTATTGGCTGGGGCCGCCGAAGTCCCGCCTTCCTCGGCGCGGCGTTCCGGCTCCCTCCGCGAGAAGGCGGGGCTTTGTGACGCACGCGCTGACGTCCCCCAGCGGTATAAAAGGCGCTCTCGGGGGCGGCGGCCTCCAGGAGCCGCCGGCAAGGGGGCAAAGAGGAAGCTCAGTGGAGCATAGCCGGAAAGCAGTAGGTGGGGCGAGTCTGGCGGAAACGCTCAGCCTCCGGCCTCCTCGTCAGCAAGGCCCTCCCTGGGGCCGTCCCTCGCGGGGGGAGAGGGCTCCCAATGGCCAGGACGGCGGTGGATGCCCAGAGGGGGAGGTCTGTGGGCAGGGTCCGGCCCTCTCGGGCGAGTGCGCGACGGCACGGCCATCGCTGAGGGGCTGGGCTTCGGTTGCCGAGCGTTCGGCGAGTCAGCCGTCTGCCTCTGGGTGCTAGGGGACGCAACGGCGCCCCCCACCCCCGCCCAGACCTACGACGGGAGCCACAGGCCCCAGCTGTGAAGTGTGTGGGAGCCAGTGGCCTGTGCCCTTGACGTTTCCTGTGGTTCTAAAGCCCCCCGCTCGCGTCAACCACTGGCAACGTTTCCTACCCAAAGCATTTCCCACGTGGTATTGGGTAAAGGAAAACCTAAGCTTCGAGAGGGAGGTCACTTTTTCTCAATCGTTGACAAGTATTCATTGAAAGGAGAGAATTGGAGAGGAATTCTTTAGTGTCGCTTTTAAACAGCCCACGCGGCCCAGTGATGGGCCCGTTAGTTGGCTGTGAGTGGGGTCGCAGTCTTCCTCAACTTGGAGAGGCGGTTGGTTCCTCCTATCGGGCTCTCAGATGCTCAGCAGCCCTCTTCCTGCGCCCACAACACTCCGGGAGCGACTGACGGTGGAGGCGGAGCTCCGGCCAAAACCCTCCTGAGAAAGATCAGCCCCCCCCCCCTCCCCCCGTGCTTCACAGGCTGCCCGGTCCGCCCCCAACTTCGATCTACCTACCGAAGGAGGAGTGGTTTGGTAGCTCCATCATCATGGCTGACTGGGAAACCGTTTTCAAAAGCATGACCTAGTCCTTCATACTGTGGAGGAAAGGATGCATTCAAAAAATAGAATTGCATCAGCATATAAAGCATGTTATAAAATAAATATCACAAACATTTTATCTATGTATATCCTACACGTATTATTTTTATTACTACCCACAAGCCCTCAATATTTAGTGAGCGAGCTAGCCAAGTCTGCACTACAGGTTTTTAAAAGGTGGCTTAATTTAGTAAAGGTCCTGTGATACTTTGACGGCACATTTTGGTGAAGTGTCTCCATACACCTCAACTGTATTCTGAAATGGCTTGGTTTGACTAACACACGCCGAGTTTACTCCCCTGACCTTTGGGAAGATGAACTGCATCTTTTAAGTATTGTGCTATGACACTCACTGCTTTTTAGTAGAAGTTGGACACGTGTCTAATTGCTGTAACTAAACTGTGCCACTAGCCCCATGAAACTCATTACTCTATTTACTGTAAGGATGTTGTTGAGGACACGGTTCATTATATCACCACCACCACCATCCTTACGAGGACCCATGGGAGAAATTTCTCTTGGGGCTTGGTGTCTAGAATAGCCATGATGTTCCCAAGCAACTTTTTTTTTTAAACCTCAGGAACCACGAGTCATTCAACCGTTTCCTACTTTATGATGGTGTTAAAAGTTGAGGGAGGATTTGACACCCGTCTCTGTTAAAGGAAGCCCTCGGTGCTGTCCTCACCTGAGGTTAAGTGTTGGGTTGCTAACCTGCAGGTTGGTGGCTGGAACTCGCTGCCTGCTCTTCAGGAAAAAGGTGTTACATCTGTGTCCCTACAAGATGGACAGTCTCAGAAACCTGATACAACAGTTCTCCTCTGCCCAATAGGGTCACTATGAGTTGAAATGCACCTGATCCCAGGGGGTTTATTTTATTTTCTACTAAAGTGAAGGAATATTGTATTAGGGTTGTAACTAACTTTAATTGTAACATCATTCTATTTTGCTAGTATATTTTCTCCCTTACCAGTGAACTGATTCATATTTTAATTGATCTGCTTATTGTAGTTTTGTTTTTTATGGACACAGAGGCTTCAAACCGTTCATGGGGAAATTCCATGATCGTTGAATTCCATTTTTCCATGAACTTTGAGTTCTCTCATATGCTTATATGCTTTCTTAAGTCATTATTTAGAATGAGACAGGACACAAACACACACACAAAGGATGCAGAGACAGAGATTAGGATGGTAACCTCTGCGATTCTCAGGACGATGGATTGGGTTATACAATCTCCTATCACAGGAAAGCCAAGTAGAGCAGACGTGAAGTGAGGAGAGGTGCATATGGCGGGGGGTGGTATGATAGCACCACAAATAGCTTTTATCCTATGAATGTTCAAAGGAAAGACTTAAAGCTGAAAAATATGGGTATACTTAAAGCTGAACAACATGTCCAAAGATAGAGTTAAAATAATGAGGGGAAAAGATGTTTCCTTGTAGAAACATACTGTTTCCAAACCTATGTGATTTAGAAGGACTTTGTTTAGAAACAGATACATTAACTTAAATTCCTTTTTTTTAAAAAAAACTGTTACTGGACAAAATTATAAATTTTTCAGTAACCAGTTTTATTGATATTTTAGTCTTTGTTTTTAATAATCTTCTGGGGTTCCTGACAGGAAACCCATAGATTTTCCATAGGTTTCTGTGGCATTCCTCAGTTGCTCTTCTACACATACTAAGGCCTTGGTAGTGGGTTTGTTTAGTTTTTAATGACAATCAAGGATGAGGCCATTTTACCAGAGTGCAAAAAAATCCCCCCAAAAACCAAAAAAACCACCCTGGTGTCCATTCAGAGGCAGTGACCCTTTAGGGTTCCCAAGTTTGTGATATTGAGGGAAGCGTCTTTCTCCTGCAGAAGAGCCGTGGAGGTAGCAGCTGAGCGCTTAACCCACTGCTTCACCAGGCTCCTTTTTACCAGTACAAACTCCTACAAATTAGGACTAAAGCGAGTGTTTCGTAGATGCTTTTCTTTCTAGAAACTGCACTTTGATTCATAAGAAATCTTCAAGTAAACGGATATGCTATTCATGAGATTTTGTTCTTCTTTATTAGACTTGTGATTTCAGATAGCCTGCCAAAATGATTTCTTCAAAGCCCAGACTTGTGGTACCCTATGGCCTCAAGACTCTACTCGAGGGACTTAGCAGAGCCATTCTCAAAACCAACCCATCAAACATCACCCAGTTTGCTGCAGTTTATTTTAAAGAACTTATTTTATATAGAGAAGGTTTGTTACTACTTTAAATGATATCATTTGCTGCTTTGAAAACGGGTTTTAAATAGAAAACGGTCGATATTTGATTTCCTTTGTTTATTCCTTCAGGAAACACTCCCATGGATGTAAAAGAACTGGTTAAGCAGTTTCACCAGATTAAAGGTAAATCACCAGCGATAGTGCTAAGAATGTGCTCGGTGTAAAGTATCGCACCACTAATAGTGTCCCTCTAGTCATGCGCAGTGCCCACAAACGTTTTTTGTTTAAACAACCGCACAGATGCCTTCTTATTAAATCAGCTCTTTTTATTTTTTTGTAATCTGGAATCTGAGATTTCAGAACATTCTAGTTTTTTTCCCCTGAAAAATAGAAAAAGCACATCCTTTATAAAGCATCTGGCATAATGGAATGTATGTTGAGACTGAAATTAGTGTACATACAAACTGTGACTTAAACTCGTTACAGTATTTCCTGTCTTTAATACTAGATTGATAGAACTTGTCATTTTGATGCATTACAATTTCCTCAACAAAAATTACAGATTCCCTAACATTTATGCTGACTTTTATCCATTTAGCAAGACAAATATGTATGCATATTCATTTTCTTCTAAGCCTTCTAATCTTGAAATTCTCTGGATGGTTTACCAATCTCTACAGATAGGCGTCGATTTGACACGAATGTAAATTATTAATCCCAGTATATAAGTTTGATTCATGAAAGCATACTTGATATTACTGAAATAAAAGTCAAAAAGTTCTTAGAAAGTAGACGCCAAACGTACAGACAAGCAGTGTAGCGGAGATTGCCATCCTGACTGACCCAACACCCTCCCCCACCTCACCTCCTGCTGTCTGGAACTACAGACTGTCAGCAGGACGGCCCCAAGAGGCAGTCCAGGTGATTACCGCCTCTGTGCTCTTTAGACCAGGAGCTGTGTGGAGAGGCTGTGCATGTATTGGAGAATGCGGGCATGTTTGAACGCTTCACAATGCTGGAGATGCTAGCACGTTTGGTGATAAAAAAAGAAAGAGCATGGTGATAAAAAAAGAAAGCAAATAGCCTGGCATGGATTAGCCACACCCTAGTCCTCAAAATAAAATCCTCGCTTTTCAACACTTTAAAGAGGTCCTGGGCAGCAGATTGCCCCAGTGCAATGTGTCGCTTGAACTCCTGACTGCAGCTTGCAGCTTTCTTTTTCCTTTGACAGTCAACTATCTAAGGGAGCCTTTTATCTGCTGAGGGCCATTTGGATATTTGTAACATCATTGGTGGGCCATATATAATAATCAATGTAAAAATTAGCTTACTATAGTTATTAAAACAGTTAATGAATTCACCCCTAAAAAAAATCAGCAAATCTTACTGTGCACAGTAGCTAGCTGGTTGTGTATGAGGTTGCTGGGTGTATCTAAGGGAATGTCTTTGAATTTCAGAGCTCAAAGATAACAAACTGAGTTACTAGGGTAGCCATGCTTTCAACAGAGGCAAGGCATTGGAGGTGTGGCTGGTTTTTCTCTCCAGTAACTAAAAATACCAATATGATGATAATAAATTCAAAACACACAAACAAAACAACACCCCACAGACAGCCATCGAGTCAATTCCAACTCCTAGCAACCCTATTGGTCAGGCCAGAACTGCCCTTATGAGTTTCTGAGACTGTAACTCTTTACTGGAGTAGAAAGCGTCGTCATCCTCCCAAGAAGTGGCTGGTGGTTTTGAACTGCTGATCTTGCAGTTATCAGCCCAGTGTGTAATCCAACAGGCTATTAAGTTTCCTAAAATAGTATTCAGCTAATTCTGAACACAGGCTCACAGGTTAACTGCAGAAACAGATTGCCTGGTGAAAGTTCTTCGGGCAGCTCTACTTGAAAATGAAGAGATGACCAGAAAATTCAGAGTTCGGTGTCAGTGTCTAACATCACCATTGCGCTCTATTTTTAGCTCATTGACTTAGATCCTGTCGTAGAGACTGCATGAGTCCCTGCATCCAGGACATCAGCACTCTGGTCCAAAAACGGGTCTACCTGGGGATGTACAGACACATAGGCACCATACGGTTGTCACGGGGTAGAGCATTTCCTCCCCTGAGGGCCATCCTCCTCTCTTCTAACTGGTTTAATCCCCAACTACTGTTCCTGTGGGGGCGCCGAGTAAATCTGACCCCATGGTGGTTCAGTTCTCCACAATGAAGATGTGAGCTTCTTTTAGACGGGTTCCAGGGTTCAGTGTGGAGCATAGCACCCATCATACCTCACATGCCCTCGCTGTGGGCTCCAGGGATTGGAGACTCTTCCAGGCTTTAGCTGTCAGATATGGCCGAAGTCAAATGACCAGGCTATCAGATAGGAAAGCACGCAAGACATTGCCATGGGGATATTGCCTTCTGCAGAAGTATTCTCAAACATGTACCACCAAGCTGCCTGTCTGTGTGGAAAGCATAGCCGGTATCTGGAGAGAACTAGAGCTCCTTGAATGCGTCTTGAGGTGTTTATTTCTGCACACACCATTTGCTTTATTTGAACACTTCATTCTGGGCTTTCTCTTGCAAAAGGCCCCATTTAGGGTAGGCTTCACCCCAGGGCTGGCAAAGTTTATCTGTTAATGGCTTGACAGTTTCATCCAGTCGGGGCAGAAGGAGGAGGAAAAGAGCACATGAGAACTAACTGTCCTCTTCCCTTGGCTAATCTCTTGCCCATTCCCGAAGCCTAGGGCTCTCAGTACAGCCCCGACTCTGGCAGAGGTCCGCCGGTGGCGTTTCTCTCCTGGGTGCCTGCAGCTGCCAAAGCAGCCACACTCTGAAACTCCATCTTGTTCTCTGCCCCTTTATCTTTTGGCAGTTTGTTTAAAGAGATTGAATAAATGAAAACTGAGCCTTTTTTCAGTCTTCATTGGAGAATTGCTTCATTAACTCCAATGAACCTTTCACCAATTGAAGGTTAGAAACTCTGGTGACATTTTAAAGTAAAAGAGTCACCTTGCTTTTCCATTCTACCACTTGGAGAGGGAGGGAGAGAGCAGAATTAGTATTTTTGAGTACCTGTTTTGTCCTAGGCACTTTTATACATTTTATCCATTAATTCAGCAAACCTTACGTGACATTAGAGATAGCACTCCAATTTTACTGAAGATGAATCTGCTACCATGTGCACCACAGAAGGCAGCACCACCCAGCCTACCCATCCTCACAATCGTTCCAACACTTGAACCCATTGCTGCAGCCACTGTGTCAACCCATCTCATCAAGAGCCTCTCCCTCTTTGGCTGCCCCTCTACTTTAGCAAGCATGAGGTCCTGACACAGGGACTAGTTTCTCCTGACAACATGTCCAAAGTATGTAAGACAAAGTCTTGTCATCCTTGCCTCTAACGAACACTCGGACCCTACTTCTTCCAAGGACCCTACTTCTTCCGATCAGTTCGTCATTTAAGCAGTCCATGGTACTTTGAATGTTTTTCTCCAGCACCACGATTTCAATGCATCGATCCCTCTTTGATCTTCCTGATTCAGTGTCTAACTTGCATATGCATGTGAGGCAATGGGGAATGGCTTGGGTCAGGCGCACCTTAGTTCTCAAAGTAACTAACCCCCTTGCTTTTCAATACTCTAAAGAGGTTTTGTGCAGCAGATTTTCCTAATGCAGTTGATCCAGTAGTTATGGATCCAAGCAAGAAGAAATCCCTGGCAACTTCACTCTTTCCTCCACTTATCATGTTGTTCCCTATTGGTCTAGTTGTGACTGGGAGCGACAAATCGATTTGCCAAGGTTGCAAATACCTAGTGATTGGCAGAATTAGGATCTGAACTTGTATCTTCTTAGTTCCCTGGCTCTTCCCCACTACTGAATAAGCAACACATTCTAGTATCCTTCTGGAAAAACCTTACTCAAGGAGTTAAGGGAGAACCCTCTTTTCTTACATGATCTCCCTAAGTTCACTTCTTCCCTGTTACCATCTTATGTGGAACCTGAAGCCCACGCTACTCTAACTGATCTTTGCACCACTTAGTGATAAGGGCAATAGTTTATCCCCTCGAAGTGCTGCTCTGCACTTGGTTCAGCATTTCTTAACTAAGACTATTTCCTGTAGTTCTTTACTGCTTCCTCCACCCACTATCATAACCCCAGTTCTACCTTACAAATCTGGTTAGACTAGAACATGTACATGGGTACAGATAAGAGCTGGAAACACAGGGTATTCAATACATAAACCCCTCAGGACCAATAATGAGAGTAGTGATACCAGCAGGGTAAGGGGAAGGTGGGAGAAAGGGGGAACCGATCACAATGATCTACATATAACCGGCCCCCAGGGTGACGGACAACAGAAAAGTGGGTGAAGGGAGACCAGTGTAAGGTTTCAAAAAAATAATTTATAAATTATCAAGGGTTCATGGGGAGGGTGGTGGAGGGAGGGAAAAAATGAGGAGCCGATACCAAGGGCTCAAGTGGAAAGAAAATTTTTGAAAATGATAATGGCAACAGTGCTTGACACAATGGATAGATGTATAGCTTGTGATAAGAGCTGTACCAGCCCCCAACAGAATGATTTTTAAAAAAACTAGAAAGTGAATGAAAATGGTTTATACACACACACACACACACACACACACAGGCTATTTCATTTCTCTCATGCTTACAAAGTGCCATCTTAGAGACTGGAGTCAAGGAAGGTAGATAGACTCTGACTGGAAATTCCTAAAACCAGGGCAGAAGTCTTGCTCTTTGCTTTCTTGGGAATTCCTGGAAGAACGCATGCCTGTCAGAGAAGCTGTGTGGCTAGCACTGTGCTGCATTGAGCATGCCATAAGCCACACTCAACACTTAATCCTGCAGTTGTCATATGTCAGTTTACTCAGAACTCATTTTTAATGAGTCGATCTCAGCTCATAATGACCCTATGGGGCAGGATAGAACTACCCCTGGGAGTTTCTGAGGATATAAATATTTATGGGGGCAGAAACCTACATCTTTCTCCTATGAACCATCAACCTTATGGTCAAACATTTAATACATACTTAATTGAATGAACTAATTTTATCAAAACAATGAATTAGAAAGAATGGGGAGTTGTTTCTGGTAGACCTGAGATAATAACTGCTGGCTTCCTACGGCCTGTGTGTGATGTATAAAAGATCAGGATGATTTTTGGTAATCAGTG